TTCTCTTGAAGTAGCTTACTGATTTCTGTCACCTTTTCATGTTAGTTTCAAATTCTGTTGCAGGCCAAGCTGTGTCAATTAGTTATAAATCAAAACTTCCCAGTTAGCTGGGACAGCCCGTTGGCAGAACAGGACTGTTGGGCAGAGTCTTTTTGTTGGATAGTTTAGGTTCTTGAGTGGTTTGAGGTTCCGTTGTCCTTGGGCACCTCAAGGATCTTAGCAAAGTAGTTCTCTTGTCTGAGGGCTGTGTATTTTTTTTCCCTCTGATCCAGATTTTTTAGGGTGGTGCAGCAGGTGGGGGGGACGTAGAATTTCAAAGAGGAGGGGAGAAGGAAATGCTGGAATTAGAGGGCATTTGGGGCTAGTATCTTGTTGGGTATCAGACATGGTTGATCAAAATAAAATCTTGTCATTTTGGAGGATGAGCACTTTGAAGAATGCTGCACATTTGCAAATAGGTTTTACTGTTTCACCTAATGAGATATCTTTGCTATGGAACATATTCTGTTTGATGGAAGGGCAAGATGTCCGTAGCTATAGAGAGTATCTGCATCAAGCTGACATTTGTCAGCTCTGCTCCTGAAGGAAGTGGCCTGAATTACATTTTTGTATTAAATTAGGTGCTTGGATTAGAGTAATTACACCAAAAGACCTAGCTGCTCAAGCCACATGGCAGTAATTCTCGTTCTGCTTTTTTCCTTGTTGTCTTTTTCCTTCTCTCTCCTCTTTAATCTCTGCCACCTTAAACACGCTCCAGTTGTACAGAGCTGCTGGGTATCGTGACCACTGTCTCCTGCTGGGAAAGGAGCAAATCCCTCATTAACAATCGCAATGTTCTTGAGCCTGGACAGATTACAGTAACGGGTGCTTAACTGGGGATGTTATGTAAATACTGCGTGTGCAGTCCCGGGCAGATGCTGTCGGCTTTTACGGTTCCACTGAAGCACCTTGGTTGGCAGCAGTGACAAATTCCTTTTGGCTCATCTGTATCACTTGAGTCTTAAACTCCTCGTGCGATATTGGTAGCATTTACCTCATGCCTGGCAGCTCAGCTTTCCATCTCTGTGCTCTGAGAAGGGATGTGATTTGTCTGTGACCAGTGATCGTTCCGTGGAAGAGCCAGCACTCGAACCTGGAGGACTCCGGCATTCCCGTGCTATCCTATAAATGCTGCCACGACTGCATCCCACTGACATGTGTTCTGGCTGAACAATCCCTTCGGCGTTTATTGGCTTTGCTGGGTAGATTTCCAAGTAGTTCAGTACTACTTTATCACTGTACAGTAGCAATTTTCCCTTAGAGAAGAAGACTGGAATCTACCAGTGTTCTTTAATGGACTGCAGTCATTTAATACTGCAGCATGAGCGCAGCCCGACTCAGATGGGCTTTTCAAGGGAGATGGTAATGACTGTAATTGCAAAAGGATGCCTTGCTGAAGCAGGAGCTGCCAGATGCAATGCCATTCTGATCTAAAAAGGTCACAGTAAAAGGGACATTTAAATTAAGTTATAAATTACAATTGAAGAACAATATTTTGATGAGCAAGACCAGAGATGTCAGAGCTGCAAGATGTAATTCATGGGTTCATTACAGAACAGAGGTGCCTGACAGCTGAGCCATGCCAAAAGGAGAATTTATTTGCAACATCACGCAGACAGAAAATGGCAGCTCTGCTGAGAAGCCGGAGTAGAAACTTGAAACCTTGTGGTAATGTGCAGACTTTATGGTAATAAAGCTTGCCTGTGATCTAGTGTTGTTTAATGACTGTTGTATTATAAATGAGGTTTTTGGACACGTGCACATTCAGAATTTTTCTTTAATCTTAAATCCTGTCCAGTGGTGCAGAAGTATTTTCTGTTTTAAAGTACATTTGTGTTGATTCCTTTTGTTGCAGTTGTATACATACATAATGTCACAGCGGTTCAAAATTCAGATGGCAGAGTTAATGCTAAAAATGGTGATTCTCTACATGACAGGATCATAATCCAGTGTTTATAGCAATACCTTGAAAAGTTCAACCAGAAGTCAATGAAACCATAGGCAGTCATCATTAGCTATTATTTATATGTTTGAGCTGCTTGCCAATAAAGTGCTTATATATATTAAATGACCCAAAGTAATAAGCAGAGAATTCATAAGCCAGATTGAAACAAACTCTGGCACTTATAAAAATAATATTTTTCCTTTTTGCTGCATTATCCGACTCCTGGCACTTCTAAAAGGTTTTTTTTTCCCACTTGCTGAACGTGATGTTTTTCAGGAGACTCTAAACCTGTATCAGTTCTTTTGTTTTCACATCTATATTTGATGTTATGTGACTCTTATTCTTTTCAGATCTGTGCTTATGGGTTTTGTGATTGTTATTCGTGTGATTACTTGGTCAGAAGTTAATGTTCCTATTTTCTGTTGGTGATTGGGGACGGTTCTGATGGCCTGTAAACTCATCTATTTTTCAGTAACCAGAGCAGTTGCCTGTTGGCCAGTCCTTTCTGGGCTTGTCTGATTTTTTTGCAGATTGAACTGTTTGGGCGGTAGGGCTGCCAGGAAAATCCACGTGTTGTCCTTGAGGCAAAATAAAGATGCCCTCCAAGTTACAAAGAGGCTTTGGCATTACTGCGTGTTTTCAGAGGGAGCGAAGAGGGAAAAGAAACAGAAGCACTATTCTCTTCAGCACTGTCAAATTTCCTAAGTGAAAAATCTTTTAGGCTGTGGCATGCACAGAAAAAAGGATTTGCAAGGTGAGCTGGCAAAACAATCCGTCCTTTTTCCTTTAAGATGGATCTGTTCCTAGTGCTGGAGTGGAAACAAGGAGGAAAATTAATGTGTACCCAGCAGAAAAGGCAACATCTTATTTTCATGCCTTTAAGTAGGTACTGCATACCACAGGAGTCTAAAAAAAAACAGTTAAAGTTTCAAGGCAGCGATGTTTGAGCCTTGGCAGCGAGCACTGCAGGTCTCGCTTTCTGCTCTTATCTGACTTGTGGCTTGTGCGAGATGGACGGAGATTGTTTCACTCGCACGGAGGCACGGCCATGGGAGCTGACGCCGATGGAGTCACCGGAGCCGTCGTTCTGTTGCACGTTAGGAAATTTCACCTGGGGAGACAGGTCTGAAAGCAGCGGGCTCTGCTCCGTGGTCCCAGGTGCTGCGTCTCCCGCACGTGCAGCGGCGAGGGGCTGCTGGTGGCTCGGGTGGGGATGCATCTCCGAGCGGCAGCTCGCGGAGATCAGATAGCTGCAGAACGGGGTGGGGAGGAAATGATTTTTTGGAAGCTGAAGCATTGTTTTGTATTGTTACTCTGCAAAGGTACATGTGGTTATAATCATTGCACAGAGGGTCTGTGACTTCCCTGTAGGTGCCGTATAAAAAAGCTGAAAATGAATAGAAACCCACTCTGGCTTGGTTTTCTTTTTTGTTCCCATTATGTTAGCTAAGTGCTTATTTTCCTGCAGTAACACTCTGTATGCTATTGTTATTTTAGTTGTTAGTAAGAAAAAAAATAATGTTCAGGCCACCAGTTAAGGGAACATTACTGTTTGTTCTAAAAACACATCGCAGATAATCATCTTTGCCCAGCAGTGACCTTTTTAGTTTTAGAAGTACTTTACACTCTCTAAAAGTCCTCAAGTATCAATAAATTGTGGATTTAATAATCATGTGGTGGAGTTGGAAGAGCACCTTCATCATTCTTTAACCCAGCAGATGATGTGTTCGTCCCTGTCAGCGGGGGAAAATTTGGAGTGGCCTGATTTTCCCCAGGGCTGGGCACTTCTGCCTTGGTAGCTAACTGGTCCTCTGCGCTTTTGGACCTCAGACCGTCTATGTGAGGTGTTCAGTGAAAACCAGCCCTCTGGAAAAGCTTCTCGAGAGCGGGACGCACGTGGCTGGGGGGAATTCTGGGTCAGAAGGAAAAGCAGGAGATCATGAATGGACGGAATCCTATTTTGGTCGACCCTGCTGAGGGTCTGTAAAATTCTGTTCTGCTAATCGATAGCTGTGAAAGTTTGGTTTGCTGAGCACCTTTGTTAGAAAAACGAGCTCTTGTCTGTGTAGGGGAGTTTGCGTGCAAATTGTTCTCGCTTTTGGGGGTAGGAAGATAATTCAGGTTTTGTCGTCGCAGCAATATTTCCCTTTCTTTTAGATCATTTTCAGAAGACATAGAGCAGGCTCCTGACTAGTCCTTCAGCTCTTAAAATCCCGCTGTACTTTGAAGATAGCACAGGCTATAAATCCACCGTGGGCTAAGTATTTGCTATCAAGAGTTAAGAGGTGACGGTTCTCATGGGTTCATTGTTGAACATTTTTTTTTCCCAGTGTAGTTGTTTTTCTGCCTCACCCTGATTTAAATGTCTGCTCTCTCTACTGCAGACGGCTTTTGATCCTATAGGTACTGAATTTATGGTAGAAAATAAGGTACACTTAACGTCCGCTTAGCCATCCCAACTTGCTTTTGTACTCCTGTAGCTATACGTAGAGCTTTTGTTTCTTTTCCATACTTGTTTTCGAACAACATGGTGATTGCAGTGCAATAAAAATGAAGAGAATTTTCTGGATGGATAAACTTGACATCCCATGGCTTCCAGTCCCTCCTGTACAATAGTTTTTCCAGTTGGTTTTACTAATCTGAAGAAAATACGCTGCATAAGATGCAACTCCATTTGAAAAATATTTTGTTGAAGCTTTTGCAAATCTTCCTTGGAATTTCTAATGTAAAAAAAAATTTTTTAAAGTTAACCAAAAAGTCTTCAGTGCTTTATGTGCTCAAACTTTTATCTGAGAGAAGTTTAGGAAGGAAGGGGGAAACATACTTGTTTTAATCCTGTTTCTTCTACCAATAAAACCTCAATTATCCTTCAGGTGGTTTAAATTTCACTTCATATATCAACAGTAAAAATAATTAGACATGGAACATCTGATGTAGTCCCCTTTAGTGGTTTCTCTCCAATATCAGATCACTGCTAATGCCACTGAATGATCTATTTGTCTTCTTTATTTTTTAGCTACATGAAAGTAACTATGATGCTGGAAAAGCCCTGCAGCGCTTGGTGAAGAAACCTGTGCCAAAACTGATTGAGAAGTGTTGGACTGAAGATGAAGTGGTAGGGAAATGAATTTTTTCCTTGAGTCTTATAGTTCATGTTGCTTCTCTTGCTTTTTTGTTCCTTTTTTTTTTTTTTCCTAAAAAGGTTATCTTTACAGGAAAGACAAGGGGCAAATAATTTTCTGCACAGGATAAATTTTTGCACAATTGTGGGTTAGTGGGCATTTGTTCAATATACAGAACTTTATTAGACCGGGGAAAATACCTTTCTAATCGCAGAAAAAGAGCTGAGATGATCAAATGACTGTTTTTGAGAGGATGCTGTAGGGGAAATGAACCAGCTGCAAAACTTCTGGACTCTATATTTCCCTTTCCTTTTCACCTCCGGGAAGGCTGGCCACGTTCATTAATTGGAGGGACAAGATGTAAAAGGCACACAAAGTATTGTCCCTGGTTTTTTCCTGCTGGGATTGGAGGAGGCTTACAGTGTCAGCTCAGGCTGGCTCATGGGAGGCTGGATATCAGTGTTTCCATGGAACAGTTTGCGATTAAGTCCCTTCCTCCCCTCATACGGAATATTAGAAACTGTTCACTGGCATAGTTCTTGATGGATGGATCTTTGACAAAGAACAGACCCAAAATAGCTTATCTGAAAGCTGGGATTTAGCCGTGCCATCCGCATTTCCTTTAAAGTATGTAGAAATTGTCAGGCTCCAAAACTGTCCTGAAAACAGTGCATCCATCTCACGTGTAGCTCCAAAAGCAATGTAAGGACATGATGAATTTGGCGTACGCATTGAATACGCAGTGAGTATCGTGTCCTCGTGGTTGCTGACCTGGAATCGCTGAGGGATTTGGGCTCATAACATCGTGGCACACTGCAATTAGTGGAAAAAAATTTTTTTTGACCTGAGAAAGACACGTCTTCATGAAAGCTGTAGTTGACAGAGAGGGTGTGCTGCTGGGAAAGCACCTCACACTCAGAAGGACCACATTTTTTTTTTTTTATTTCTGGGTCTATTTCCAGAATTTGAGGGAGGTACTATCTGTGTGAGAATTAATGAAGCAAAGGTGCTTCTGGTTGTTCATTCTGCAGCTTAATTGCTGCAATCGTGAGGTTTCTGCTGGCTTAATTTTTATATATATGATAAAATTAACTGTGCTGATTAAAGTTTTCTATAGGGTTATAAACAGAAACAAATGATGTGAAGTTGGGAGCAAAATAGGTTCTCAATTTGCTGACACCTTGTAAACAAATAAGTTCTTAAATATTGCATGTAACACAGTGCATTTAGACTCCAAATGCTGCCAGAAAATGCTGCTGCATTGCAACCCTTTGTTTATCAGCTAGCACACAAGTACTTGACTGTAAAAAAAAAAAAAAAAAAAAAGGGGCGAAACTCATGTATTTTAAGTACCGAGGAGAAATGCTGAACAAGTTCACTTGGATTATATCCTAAAAATATTTTGCATTTTGAATGCTGATGTTAATTGTGCTTAACAGAATAGATTTATGTGAAATGTAACATGTGAAAGGGCGGCACCTCTTCAGCAAGCTGGGTAGGCACGTCTGGTTTTGTGAAAATGGAAAACGTTCTCTTTCCTAGCTCAATAGTCAGGCTGCAGTGTGCACTAAAATAGAAAATCGGATGGTTGGAGGTTAGTTATGATAAAATATTGATCCAAGAAGAACTTCAGACTCGCTCATTGCTTTTACCTTTCGGTGTTGGAAAAGCTGCTTCTCTTACGTACCGTTTTGGAACAAACAGAGATAGAAATCCAGCTTGTCCTGTATCCTTACCAGTGTACTGGTGGTAAGGAGACTGCCTGAAGTCGCGGAGTGAAAGAAGATGGTGTGCTAACGCTGGCAGCAAAGCAGAGCAGAGGATGGGCAAAAAGCTTAGAATGCAGCTTCCTGATAGTTTTACAGTTATCGTAAAAGGGAGTTTGGGGAACCAATGGTCGGAACAAGTACTTCAAGTGCTCTGCCCTGTGTTCAGTAAGTGTGTGTTCATGTTGTTCTAACCCCTGTTTTCTCTGCCTACCTTCCTGCCCACATTCATGGTGAGATTGTACAGAGCCAACACCTCTGCTTCTGGGGAGATTTTTTCGCTCTCCTTGGTTTTTTCCATCAGCTGCACCATGTTGTGAATGCCACGGCTGCTGCAGCTCGGGGATTTTTGGCGAGCGGTCCGTGTTAAATGATAGCGAATAGAACCTTACGGAGAAGAAAAGGCAAAGTTTATTGAAAAGTGAAACATTACTCCGAAAGTGCAAACTCTGTGAGTACAGAATGATGATCATTGACTCCATAAATCATTGTCAGCCTCAGCTCACTTTATCATATTTGTTCTTGTTCTGTTCCATCCAAGTTTCCAGAAACATTTGGCAGCCCTCCAGGCTGCGCAGAGCCAGGGATCAGGCTGTGCTCTTATTTATAGAAGCTAAGCTCCACCTGCGCAACCTCATAGCGTGTTGGTCCCCGGCGGTTTGTAGAAAGCTCCAGATAAAAGCAGCTGTGCTGCACTTTGGAGCATTTCTGAGACTCGCAAGGGACGTTCCTGTACTGTTGGCTCTGGGAAACTGAGAAAACTCTTTCTGCATGACACGAGGGTGCTCGAGCTGCACGGGAACTCCCCAGCAAAGTGTTTGTCACTGCATCAAACCCAAAGTCTGGCCAAAACAATCACATTTTGGTGAGATCTTTATTGTCTCCCCCATCTTGTGATGGCAAATGATGAGCAGGAGGAAGAAGTCAAATTTATTGAAAATGTATTTATTTATAAAGCTTTGAACTCTTTCTGTGGGCTGTCTGTTGCCCAAACGATTAAACCTGTCTTTTTAATTAAAACTTTCTTGCCTATGACCAAACGGGCAAGTAAGAGCTGCTTCGCAGTGATCAGAACTGATTAAAACAAAGGATGGAAGTTACGTTATTTTTACTACTGATGATGTGGTTACAGAGCTTTAGATCCAATTAAAGGGAGGATAAAATTTGCCGCTGATTGAATTAAATGGAAGGCTCTGTAAATATGAAGACGGAGGTTTGTTGTCTCCCTTGTGTTGTAAACCTATCGCTATTTTTAAACCTTTTTTTATTCATGTAAATTCAGAGGCATGCTGTGAAACCCAGCCTTCCCCACTGCCCAGTACCAGTGACTAAAGACACGTCTTCACCGCTGTGCCTGCACGCAGCTCGCTCAGCAGCTGGCTCCTGTTTATAAAGGCTCCTACACCTGACAGCATCGATTTGGGGAGGGGGTGCCGGTTTCTCTCGCAATGCTCATGAATTTACTGCTGTGGACAAATTTGTCGAGCGTTGCCATGTACAATGCCGTGTTTAAGCACTTTCTGAGCACGCACCATACAGACCAACACTGCGGCATCGCCTGGCGGAACCGTCTTGGTGTTCGGCTGCGGTTTCAAACAGAAAGCCGTGCAGGTCAGAGTGGATATGTGGGGGGAAGCCATGGAGCACGTCCTCGGTTTTGGCACGGCTGGTGGCAGTGCCCTCTGACCGAATGCTGCGTCTGACACGGGCGTGATGCTCGCTGCCGGAGCAAGGTCAGCGTGGCCGGGACAGGGGCACTGACCCCGCCACTGGGCACGTGTTCCGTGGCAGAGCTTTTGCTAATATGAGATTAATCACTTTCATGTTCTTCAGCCATTTTTCCTCGTCTCCCTGAGACCCAGTGGCGCCTGGTCTCTGTAACGTTGCTTTTTCATTCTGTGGGCAATGGCAGGTTGTAGTACAGGCAAGGTGCGGTTTGTATTTTTCTTGCTCTCAATGCACTGAGAAAATAAAGATGCTTCACTCGAGCTCAGCAAGGGGTTGTCAAAGAGAAAGAGAAGTGAGCTCTGCTCTGTATCTCATGGGCACCTCCAAAAATGTCTCTGTTCATCTTGGACATGCAAGCCATCAGAAATCCCTACAAAGAACGGAATGGTGCTGGTCCATTCTTCTTTTCCAGTTGGAAATATTTCAAAACTGACATTGAAATTGTACTTGGAAACACGCAGACTTAGAGTTTGTTGTCTATGGGGAGTAAGTACAACAAACTTCAAACCAAGTGCCTGTAGTTAAACTCGGGTGCTTGCCCTGGTGACCCTGGCTTTCCCCGGGTTCCAAACCTGGCACTGTGAGCGTTAGCTGCCTTCACTTTAGGCTCAATTGAACACCCCTATTTCTTGGCGTGCTTTCAGTGGAAATATTTCACAAGAAAAATTATCCTTACAGAATTTCCACTGTTTTGAGACAAAATCTTATCTGCAAAATGGCTTTTAGACTGACAGTGATGTTCAGTCCAATTCTGACCCTGCACTTGCTCCAGGTCCAGAAAGGAGCGCGTTGTGCACGCTTCGGTTTCACATGAATAACCTGTCCCATGGCTATCGCTTACAGAGGGGACAGTGGTCATCTTCAGTTCTGTTAATTTAATGAAAAGATTTCCAGTTCTGGTATGCCTGGGGTACTGGAAACGGCGAAGGAACCAGCGAGGTCTGGCTGTTCCGCACATCACCGTCCTGCTGGTTTGATCTCTATTTTTTTTGTCTCTTTATTCAGAATGTGCTTTTTTCTTGTCTTTTTCTCAAAATTACTCACAAAATCAATACAGCTTACAGAAGAGAGAAATACAAATCAGAACTAAAAGAACCTCTAGTTTATTAGGTTTTTAATTAAACATGATGAACACATTTTAAATAACACAAAGGCCTCGGGCTGAGCTGCATCTAATCGAAACAGATTAAGTCACCCGTCCACACTCGGGTAGTTATTAATTCTGTTTACTTATGCATGCTAGCTAAAGGCAGAGTTCACTGCTGCTGTGTTGCAGTTTATTGCGCAGGGATGCTTTTGCTGCACGGCATTGTGCTCCTAATTAGCATTCAGATGTTGATTATGAAGAACACAGGCAAGGCTAATTGAACCACCTTTGAAATTCAGGGCTGGCTCCCAAAGTTAAAGAGAAACTGGGTGAAACAGTAGTTTTGCATTATTTCTTGGATGCTTCCTCCATTTTCTTCTGTGCTTGGTCTCATCTTTTCAGAGATGTTAAA